ATATATATATATATATAATACTATATAATATCGTCCTACAAACTGCAAGATACTGGAAACGATTTTTAGCACAGATGATTTATACATTTTATCTACGACATAAACGTTATTTAAAAGCACTTCGAAATTTACATCCAACTTCTGGGTACACTGTTAGTGTTAATATAAATAGAAATGCTTAGGTATGATTTACATTTTTACTTCATTATGAGCTCCAGTTCCCTGAGTACTTCAGTAAAAGAGACTAAGCACTATGGTATGAAGGCAAAAGGGCAAAATTCATATGATATAAAAAATTATGAACCATTAACAAATACATATTAATTCTTTCAGTGCTGAATTTAATTGTGTGAATGCACTAGCAGTTAGTCTAAGTTGAAGCTCAGACAATTACTTGAATGATAAATCCCGAATTCCAAATTCTTAGCTACAGTGTCAACTTACCCTTCTCCTGAATCGGTCCCTTAAGCAAGCTGGCGAATCTGCAACAAAAAATTGGGTAAATATAGCTGCTGTTGCGAAGACATTCATTTCATTAGGTGTTTAATCTTAATTTAAATCCAATTGGCCCAGTTTTAGAATAGTCAATTCTCCTCCAATAATTTACCCTATATATGAGAATGTGTTCGCAATGCATTATGCAAACAAATTAACTATCAAATTTCATGGAGAAGCACCCGTTTTGAGAAGCTGATGGTTATTCAGTTGGTAGTTTCATTGTCTCGGGGAGAGAAATCTGACTTTATAACAGCAAATCAGTCGCATAGATACAAAATATGGAGATCTGAAGGCAGGGTAAGCGGGAAACCCCTTGAAAGAGCATAAAATTTTCAGTGAAATTTTCATTTTGTGAGATGATGTGTGCTGAAGCAAAGAACCTGGGATCCTGGACCTACTGAAACCTAGTCTTAAATTCCTTTGTCATATACAACATCAAGAGTACATTGCTAATCCATGATGTTCCTATATCGTCAAGAACTGTTCAACTGAAAATGTCGGTCAAGAAATTATGAAGTAGAGATCGGAAAGTTTGGCCGTTTCTACAATAGATACATCGGATTTCGATATAGGTGGAAACTACAGTGATTCCATTAGAAGTCGGTACTGCTTTGCTATTACGGTACATACTCGTATGTGTTGGAAGGAAAGCTAGAATCTCCGAAAGAAAACGTTTCATTACAGAGCTGTTTTAAGGAAATTAAATTAGAAATGTATACTATAGCTCAAGATTGTTATTTATCTTGGAAGGAAGTGCCTTAAAGTCAGTATTCTCTCCTAATGAGGGAACATTTTTTCTTCTCCCCTACTGCTTTCGCACCGCACCCCACTCCGTCCATTTTCAATCCCCTCCCACTGTCTCTCTTCATTCTTCAGTCTGCCTCCGTCTCAATTTTTCATCTACCTCTCTATCCATCTCCCTTCATTTCTTCCCTTTTTTCTTTGTTTCTCCTTTTTATTTTTTAGCCCTTTCCCCCCATCCTTTCTTTCCTCCTTCTTCAGTAAACTCCTATATTTCATAAACACAACATGTAGCTAAACGAGTTTACATACAGCTCCATGTGTGGCTAAGAACATAGGCACATCTTACGTAAAACAGCGCATTTTTCGTAAATCATGATAAGCTGTTTTACAAATATTCACATAATAATTAGTTACATTCCAACGATATAATTTATTATTATTTAAACTTATTTAGAAACATGTATAATTCAGAAGACTGAACAGCCCAGATGGCGAAGTCAAGCAGAAAACATGATTATTATTTTTAATCATCAGTGCATATTTTATGTACCTTGAACTTCGTTTTAATTAGGCTACATATTAGGCTTATTTCACGTCAGAAACATGTACCACGCTTACAGACCACAGGAAGAGCACTCCAGCTAATCCATCAATCATTATGCCCCCAGTAACTTCGGGAGCCGTAACATTACGGAGTGTCTCGTAACCGCGTTGTGTTATGGTGTAATTAGTCACGATGTGTCTATGAGGGAAAAGCGAACTTCATTTCCTCCAGCTATCTCCTCCACATGAACAGACTGCGCATTATATTCGAGCAAACCTTGGGGGGTGGTTGAAACATCTCCAATAAATGCTAAATTCTTTTCTTAAAAGCTATTCGACTAATTTCTTACAATTTACGCTTAATGATTTCCCTGTATCAAATTAACATTTCAACATGTGGGGGCGCGAAATATAAAAAATTCCAGAGTTTAATGTCTGACAATATTTTAGAAACTTAGAATGAATTACTTCATAAATAACGAACGTATTTTTTATTTCTTTGAATATTTTTTTTCTTGTGGCGCTACAGCCCCAATTTTGGGCCTAGGTCTACCTCCATGAAACTCTCCGTTTCACTTCGGTTTACTAGATCTTACACATACGGTAGGACTCCTTGGGCGAGTGATCAGCTCGTCGCAATGCCTCTACCTGTACTGAAACACAGAAAAACACACACAAACATCCATGCCCTGAGTGGGATTCGAACCAACGATCCCGACTTCCGAGCGAGCGAAGACAGTGCATGCCTTAGACCGCTCGGCTACCGTGACCGGCCTTGAATATTTTTAGTGTTTCGATTTCCACATTATTCAACGAACAGGAGAAACACCATTAAACACCTGTCTTCAAAACATACTTCTTCAATTGTATTGTATCTTCTTCATTAGGCTCGACAGCTTCATTTCTTGAACGCTTTGGCCTACTCAACAATTTCCTTCCAACTACTTCTGTCCTGTGTGCGAGTTGTTCAGTTATAAATTCCTAAGTCCTTTAGACCTTCCCTTACGTCATCTTTCCGTCTGATCTTAGGTCGTCATCTCTTTCTAATGGCGTGTGGCTCCCAGTCATATATTCTTTTAACTGTTCGTCCAGCCTCCATCCTTGAGATGTGTCCAAGCCAAGTTATTCTTTGGGCTCTGATGAAGTTAACTGTGTTCCTTCCTTTTATTAGGTTATCTAGTTCATCATGCATGATTATGACACAGTTAACTCAAAAGTGGCTGTAAGGTGAACAAATCTGGACTTTGAAGAAAGATGTTCGCAAAGAGCGAGCAGGTAAATTTTGGGAAGAATATGGTGATGACCAACTTGAAACTGTTCTATCCCCGTATTAACCCGGAGAAAGTAAGAATTCACAAAGCTCCGAGTCATTATAGCACGGGAAATCGGTTAAGATTTGAATACGTACTTCCCGATTACAAGTCTAGAATCCTACCACTACAACAGAAACTCGACGACAAAATTTATACACATTCGTCTAGAGATTTCATGACACTAGGCGCATACTGTCAGTAAACGTAGAAGGAAAAGCGTACTCCAGTAACCATTGATTCTATTATTTTATATGTTGACTCCTTTAGAGTTTTCAAACGTCAAGATGTTGTAACACGACGCCTGCAAGCTGCAATATGACCATCTGCTGGGCGGGGCTTCGCTGAGCACGTTCCCGTGGCAACGCGGAACAGACCGTTCCTAGACAACGGATTGTTAAAACGCGTCTCGCGGAACGAATACAGGAATCAAGGCGCTGCCCCAAATTAATACATGGTATCCAGCACAACGCGGACAAACACAGTACTGGAACTCTTGAATGCAACTCTTGACACATGGCAAAATGTTACACATATAAAGCGAAGTCCATATCAATTTATTTAGTTTCTCACACTGAGCATCTCCAATGAATGATTTCGAGCAAATTCCATTTTCATTCATAAGTGTCCAGTCTCCACTCTACAAGAGCAGTTCTTAAGGTTCGGCCACACAGAGCGCTACGTACGCTATGTTCTCTATACGAACAGAAAAATATCTCCCTTTATTGCCAATGTGACTGACCACACAGACTTCCGTACGCTACGTACGCTATGTTCCTTGTGTTAGCTGCGTCGCAGAGTGTACACAGCGTACGTAGCGAACATAGCATAGCGCTCTGTGTTGCCGAACCTTCAGGCTGTGCTGTAGACGAGGCGGCTAACCGGCCAGCTTCTCTTCTCGGTAACTCGGGTTCAATCTCAGATAATTTAGTGTGAGAACTGGGTTCATATCTAGCGTTGAGGTAGTGTGTGAGTCCATGTCTCTTTCCATCATTCAGTTTCTCCCATCCATCATCCGCTGCCAATGCACTATTTACGGCGTAAGAACCAATGGAATCTTATCCCAACCTAAGAATAAAAATAAAAAGGTATATGTGCACTAACGGCAGGGAAAAAGCGGCCCAAGCGTACAGTCGACAACTCACTAACGTTAGACATAAACGGAACTTTATATCCGCGGCCCGTCACGTCTTCATGATGTAGGGACAGTTTAATTTTACTTCACTTTACTTTAACGGATTAGGTATGTGATCTGTTAAAAAGCTCCAAGGAGCTGAGTCATCTTTGAGAAGCTAACAGTCTCTCAACCAGTCAAGCAGTCAAGAAATTCTCCACATTTTACGGAACCCCAAAGTTTGTTACAGAGTTCACTAGAACCCGTGACTGAAGCATGATTCTTTAATTACCATTACCCCCCTCCACAATAACTAGGTATTCCAAACTGTCTCTCCAGAAAATACTTCGAGAAAAATGCTGTATGCATTTATTATCTCTTTCATACACGCCGGAAGGTCGCGGGTTTGATTCCTGATGAGGCCATCGGATTTTTCAATTGAATTTATCTTTCCAGTAGCAGTATGGCTCTGGGGTCGACGGAGCATCTAATAGAAATAAGTACCATGAATCTTCTTAGGGGTAAAGGGCGGCTGGTGCGTAAGGCTGACAACCTCACCGCCATCTGTGAGCCGACTGTCTCGATGTCTGGTAACACTGTGGACCTTCACGGCCTGTTACAGAGGTAGCTTTAACTTTTTAGCTCATTCATGCTTGCTAAATTATCCTCCGTGACTTGATTCGCTTTGTTGCTACTTAGTGCAGAAAGCAACTTATGAATCTACTTACCGTATTTACGCATGTATAGGGCGCACATTTTTTGCCAAAAATTCAAGAGGAAAACTGGGGTGCGGCTTATATTCGTTATATTCGAAATATTCGAAATCACACTTCATTTAAAAAAAATTAAACGTTGCCAAATTTCGGAATAATTTCTACTCCTGAAATAATATTCCAAGAAAATTATTTTTTCTATAATTTCTGTCTGAAAATTGTGCTGCGGCCTATACACGCACGCGGCCTATACATGCGTGAATACGGTATTGTATAGTTACAGCCAGGCTCCCGTTAATTTCTGCCTTTATATAAAAATATTCCCCTGTGTACTATGCTGTCCAGGACCTCCAATATATTGTAACGTGTTTATGTTACTGATCCCGTCGGTCACGTGTGTAAGTCCAAATCCCACTTCTGACACCAATTGTCACGTGTCTTGAGATCGAATCTCGTCGGTCACGTGTTTAAGTTCTAATCCCGTTGGTCACGTGTGTAAGTCCAAATCCCACTTCTGACACCAGTGTAACGTGTTTACGTTACTGATCCCGTCGGTCACG